GCATCTCACGGGTTGTTGGTATCTCTTCTCGAGCTGCCACGGCGGGGTGTAGGGGCAGGGCGAAGAGGGGCTGCGGTGCTGGGGGGTGCAGCTTAACCACGTGTGTTCTTGTGCTTGAGCCATCGTGATGTTTGTGTGACACAGGAGCCTGAGAGCAGACGAATGCGCGGTGGGGTCTAATACCTTTATTGCTGGGTAGTGCTGAGCTGTTAACACACTTCACAAATAAAGATGATTCCTCTCTCTCTCTCTTTTTTTTTTTTTTTTTTTCCATCTTTGGTCTCTGGTCTCTTCCTTGCTCGCTGGACCCTGGGGCTGCCTGACCTGCTGACTCATTTCTGGCTGCGGAACGTGACCCCCTCTCTTGCAGTTCGGTGCCAGCTCCAACTGGGCTCTAATCACCAAGTGTTTGCAGCTCGAGAGGCGTTCAGGCCTTTGAAGGGCGATGAGCGGTGCTCCCTGCTCTGCAGGGGTCGCAGGCCTGCTGGTCACTGGGGCACCCTCACTTCTTTGGGGACACGCGTCGCCTTGCCCCCCTGCGCAGCCCCTCCGTGTCTTGTGGCTGTGGGGTCAGGGATCAGCCCCAGCCCACAGGAGCCCTTGTAGGACATGCTGCTGGGGTGTCTCAGGCTTCCCTATGCTGTTATTTTCCTTTCTCCCTGCTCTTTCCAGTAAGGGAGAGCGAAAGTGCGAGCCCACCGGTGCCTGGGGGAGAATGGAGGATGTGGTGGGGGGGCCCTTTGCTGCTGCCAGCCCTGAGCTCTGTGGGTTTCTGCCAGTGCTCCTGCCCTTGGAGGGAGGCATGGGGGGCCAGGGGCTGGAGCTCCTAGCTGGTCCGAGAGTCACCCTGGTCCCAGGGAGCCTGAGCCGTGACCTTGTAGCCTCACCCTGTAGCCAAAGGCTTCTCCCTGCCTGGGAAGGGGTGGTTGGGGAGTGTGGCTCTGAGTGCTGGGCTGTGCCCGGGGGGCTGTGGCCGGCAGGTCTGGCTGGAGCTGTGGTGGCCCTGTCCCTCTCCATGGTGTTTCTGCTGCCTTGTGTCATCAGCTGGGCCGGCCCTGGGGCTGACCGGGCAGCGTGGCTCTGCAGCACGTAAGTGGGTTATGCAAGCTTTTCACAGCCGGCCTTGTGCTTGCGGGTGCTGTCCTGGTGAAAAAAATCAATGCATGGCTTAATTTCCTTGATGAGGATTACAGGTCCTGCCTGACCCGGCTGCGGCACAAAGCACTGCTTGTGCCTTTTGTTTGGGCAGGGCTGGTGCAGGGGGGGAAAACAGCCCGTGGAGCTGGGGAGGGGATGGTGCTGCTCTCTGCCGGGCCCGCTCACCGCAGCGAGCGGAGGCAGAGCCGTGCTGCCGTGTGAGCTCTGTGCAGGGATGGCGTGAACAGGGCCCTGCCGTGGTGCCCCGATCCCTCCCGGGGTGTGTGTGTGGGTGCTCTGGGCACCCACAGAATCGCAAGGGTTGGAAGGGACCTCGGGAGCTCACCCAGTCCAACCCCCCTGCTCAAGCAGGTTCTCCTAGAGCATGTTACACAGGACTTCATCCAGGCAAGCTTTGAATATCTCCAGAGAAGGAGACTCCACAACCCCCCTGGGTCAGTTTGTGCCCATTGCCCCTTGTCCTGGCGCTGGGCACCACTGCAAAGAGCCTGGCTCCATCCTTGTGACTTCCACCCTTAAGATATTTGTACATGTCGATGAGGTCCCCTCTCAGCCTTCTCTTCTTCACCCCGTTTGCAGGGGTCCCGCTCTGCCTCCCGATGCCTCGGGGTGAGCCCTGAGCTGCTGCTTTGCTGCATCCTTGCTCATCATCCCCAGCCTCCGCTCAGGTCAGTGGTATCGGCTGGTGGGGGGCACCCCTGAGGGCTTGGGGCTGGCCGGTGGGGGGCAGCGCTGGGGGTGGGGCATGCGCACTGTCCGTCTGTCTTTCTCCAGTGTGGGCAGCAGATGGTGCCTCCTGGCACGGCTGCGTCACCCATGTGGTGCTGTGACCCCAGAGGGGTCTTGCCCTGGGCCGGTGGCCTGGTGGAGCCAGGGCTGTGGGAGCTGTGTCCTCGTGGCCGGGGGGGGCTCTGGTCCTGTGTCCGTCTGTCTGAGGGTGCTTGGGGCTCGCCCAGCCTCCTGGCTCTGGAGTGCTCTGACACCTCGCAGCCCGGGGAAGCCGCAGGGGGCAGAGCACGTTCCTGGGGTGGTGAGGCAGGAGGTGCTGGTCCCACTGACCTCTTCCCGGCACCCAGAGCATCAGACCCGGCTCTGTCTGGCATAGGTGCAGGTGTCCGCTTTGCCGGTGTCCGGCCGGCGTTTGCTGGGCCACGTTCTTTATGGGACACGCAGGAGCCACCCTGTCCGGGGGTGTCGGTCCGGGGTCTCCATCCCTGCACCCACCCCCAGTGGTTTCTCC